AAAAAAAAGGGGGGGGGGTGTGTGTTTAAAAAACCGCCCTTAGGTGGATAGTCAAAGCACCGGTTTCCTCAGCGGCCTCGTAGCACCGTGAGGGAGCGTGAATCAGCCTGGTGTGGTTGTGTTGCAGCCATGGCTTTTGGTGCATCAGGAATTGTGTAACCAGTAGCAAAAAAAAAAAAAAAAATCTTCGGGCCGTGTTGGGTGACTGCAGGCTGGCTGGGCACTCTGCTATCTATAACGTGCAGCCTTTGAGAAGAAAGTATTCGTGAGAAACTGCTACAGAATGTACGTATAAATGTGAGAAGATCCATTAGGATGCCTGGCTATTGAAGAGGAGTCTGGAAAGCGTGTCATCAGATGATGCTAAAACATAATCTGGCACACGGTGGCAATATTTTGAGACTGAGACTATTTTTGCAGCTACTGATTGCAATGCTCAGAGCCATTTTATGTTTAATGAGTACCCTTTCAATGAGGCGTTTCTCGTCTGTGCTACTCATCTGGGATGAAGTCATGAAATCCAGCTGAAAGCTTTGCTGATGAACAGAATTATGTGTGGTTTTTGTGAGTCTCCTTCTGAGATATACAGAAGAATCCAAGGCTATAGCAAGCATCAAAACTACAGAGGCGGTGAACAAAAATAAATGGCTAACACCGCTATTATAGTGAACACGTACTCAATCAGGGATAAAACTGTAATCCTGCCTGTCTGCCCTGTTGGCCAATACTTGAGGTTATGGGCATGTATCTAAATGTCAGCAGTCTATTTGAGAATGAAAGAATGTGAATTCAAAGGAAAAGGCTTTTTCTTAAAGTGCTCTGTTATTAAACTGAAGAGGATTTGTTACCTCTGCTGATCATGACTGCAGCAATACTGAATAAGGACAGATTGATTCTTTTACATACCTTAGGCAGGAACTCTTTTATGTTCCCTTTTTTTTTTTTTAAATGTTCCTTAGTCTATATATAGACTGCATCCACTACTTGGAAGCTGGTAGGCAGACAGTGTAGTTCACAGAAAATCTTACACTCTTAGGAAGAGCTCAGCCACGCACCTTGTTCAGTTAGGCACCACGCCTTGTGTTACTCAGTTGTCCTAAACATCGCTAGGCTGTACCTCTCTGTTTTGTTACAGCTTTTAAAATCAGCCTTTCCTATACAAAGTTCAGATTCTGTCATTCTATTTTGTGACCGTATTTTAGCAGCACTTTACATCAATTTCAATAATGGTTTTTATAGCACCTCTTCGCCAGATGTCATCTGGGAGTGTTCCTGGTTCTTCTGGAGAGACCATGATTTACTACCTCCTTGCTGGTGTTGCTGCTTTTGGTGGTTTATTTTATGTAAGTGTTTGGGAATGGAGCTGTTTGTGCTTTCCGAGTTGGCATGGTTGGTGTAAGGTGTGCTCTGGGTTAAAGAACATGGTCAAGATGCAAACCGTCAATAGAGTGTGGGTGTCGTAGCGTATAATTAAATACAGTCTAACTTAAGAATCAGTTCAAGAGAACTAGTGAAATTGGATGCCTGTTGCTTGCCCGTTTTAGTGTTACTTAGGTATCTAGTGCTGTTGTCATTCTTAGTGGAAAACATACCTTATGTGAAATGAACATGTCCAAAGATGGAGCAACGCACCTGCCTCTAATCCCTTGCCTCTTCTTGTCAACCACAAACATTAAGAATATCTCAAAGCGGGCAAGACAGATGTGAAGTAAGCTGTCTGAAGCTGCAAGGGCAGTATTATGAACCTTGCTATTTGGGGCACAAAGAAAGATAAGAGTAGTAGTTACTTAAGCATGTTAAAGTTTTGTAAACATCTACTTTTGTCAAGCTTTTCAGTAATCATTCTCTTCCTTGCATCTAAATATATCAGACTCTGCTTCACATCCCTAAAGCCTCCATTTCATAGCTTCCTTCCACCCCTCCCCCCCAAGATTTGAGATAGTGAGATACTGACTAGCACATCCCAGAGAGGTGCATGTTTCCCTCTCCCACAAAATAATCCTCTTGAATGGTAAGTAGCTTCTACTTGTTCACAATATCAAACTTGTGTGATTGCATATCTGGAGGAATAACAAATTTTCTTGCTGTCACCTTTTGACCATAATTTTTTTAAAAAATAATCTGTCTGTAATTGTCTTTTAAAATACCGTGTTCAATTCCCAAAACACTGCAGCACTTTGAAAGCCGCATGTTGTATTTTATTCCACTAAGAAATAAGAAACATATAAATATGTTAGTATAGCAAAATAGATATTTATTTTTGTAATTTTTTTTTGACCTTGCTTAGCATAATTTGATATGCCTTTTAAGATGAGCAGTAGCATTTGCATAAAAACTCTTCTTTCCCTCTCCCCTCTTCTTCTTTGGTAACTTTGTAGGGATGTAACAGTAAGTTTAGGTATAATTTCCTTTCAGGCCTACAGAATAGTCAGTTCATCCCGCAGCAAGTATATTGAACATTTGAATATTCTTCAGGAGAGAGCTGAGGGGCGGAAAGACAAACCTTGGTCAAGCAAGGGTGAGTTGAGCTCTTCTTTCTTGTTCCCCGGGTACATGAGGATCTGGAACAGATTTCTAGATTGTCTAATCAGGCCTTAACGCTGTCCAAGTCCTTGTCTGAGCTCTGTGAGTGGGAGTAAAGACAAAGGTGGTTGTGCAGTGTTCTGTTACAAAGCTACTTCTGCACAAATTTTGGGACTGGACTTAATGTTCAGGCAGTGAATCTGGCCTGTCATCAACCTGCAGGAGTCTCTTTGAATGGAAAGAATTGATGTGTGAACCATTAATTTTATATTGGGTATTTGCATTTGATTTACTGGAAGCTTAATGAAACTTGACTAAATGCATAATGCTGTCAAAATCAGTTTTGTTCTTTTGTTTGTTGGGGGGGAAGGAGATAATATCTTTTTCTCAGTCAACAGTTTGGCTCCAGGCCACGTGCCAGCAGGGAATGCAGTTCAATAGGAAAAAACCTACATTTTTAAAAAATATTGTAAATTGGACCCATTTCTTGTCCTACAACTTTGACTTTGTCCTTTTTAACTTAGGATTAAATGAAAAACAGACACCACCTAAATGTATGGCAAATCCTTACTTAGCTCTTCATGCTTAAATAATTAGACCCTGTTAGTTCAAATACTTGTAATGGAATGTTGTCTCTGTCTACATCAATTAGCATTACAGTGGCATTAATATAAAAGATAGAACTTTGGCACACATGGCCTTGCTAGGAAAAGCAATTAGAAAAAATTGCTTCTTACGGATCTTTATATTTTTATTTAGTTGTTGTTTAAAAAATAAATAAATTTATGAGGCCATAGCACTTGAAGCTCTTCCTTATTTTTTCTGATGCTGACGTCTAGAGAATTCATTTAATATATTTGCATGCACACAAAGGATAGGTTTGAATAAAGTATGCTGAGTTTAAATTTTGTTTTCAGCGTGAGAACATGCTTTGAATTGTCTGCCTCTAAAATTATTTCTTTTGAAGTTGCTAGTCTTGAAGTTCCACAACACATCTTTTAGTTTTAGAACTTTTAAGATTTAAAATGACAAAACACCTTAATTTCCTTTCTTTTACACAGCTGGAAGCAATACAGTTTTTAAACTTAATTATTTAAATGCTGAGAATTTGGCCACAATTTTAATGCAATCCTTCCTTGTCCCTAAAATAAAAAAATTTGACCAGGACCAAAGTAGGTATTTTCTTCTAGTGACCTAGTCATTGAGGGAAGAAATGAGGGTTATGCTTGTTACGTTCTAACATAGTCAGAAGAACATGGTAGATGTGAAAGCATCAAGCAAACCTTCCAGGGCCCTCAAAATTATGCCAGTATATTCCCTCTTTTCTCTTAAGGTTCACTTCTGCAAGGTAGTGAGTTTTAACCCTAGCCTGCCAAAATGTTTGGATACCCGCAGAGTCAGTGGTGCTGTTGAGCCACTGAAGGCTATACCTGTGTTGCCTGAGACTGGGGTAAGAGTACTTGGTGCTCTCCAGACATCCCATAATCTGATGCCTTGTGCTGCTTAGTAACTTCCATGAATGTCACAACCAATGGCAGATGATTGCTGCTTCCCTTATTATTGATAGTAAGAAGTGCAAAACATTTCTAAGGCCGTACAGTGAACACAGCTGAAACTTGTCTCCTATATTATTTTCAGTATTGGACTTCTGAGTAAAAGCTCAACGCAGAGTTTTTAATTGGACTTCTGAGTAGCTAATTCCAATTCACAATACAAAACAACTGTTGAATCAGCTCTTTTTAAGATCCTTCTTCATTCCCAACTGTATCTTCCCAAAAGAGGTTTCTGTTCTTGCTTTTCCTATGGAATCCTCTGTGTGCTTTCTCAAAAGAATTAACGTCTCTCTTCCTCCCCTTTTTTCCTGTTCCCTGCGTAGCCATATTTTTGTGTGTATCTTGTCACAGAGTGTTACTGTAGTACTGCTTTTCCCAGAAGTGCCACTGCAGCTTCTTTCCCTACACATTCTTTAGATGCAGTTACTCCTTACACTTTTTCACAGTAAGCATTGCCGATAAGAGTGATTAAAAATTCTGTTCTCAAAGTATTCTAATACTTCCTAGGGTCACATAAAATAAGCTATAAAACAGTGCTGGTAACAATATGAAGTGGTGGATGGAAAAGCAGCATGCTGAACAGCACGTTCATGGCATATTTACTACATGTCCTATGGTAAGAGAAGGACTTCCTAGCTGGAAGAATTAATACTGGGGAGCAGCTGATCAGAGAGAGATTCTCCTGATACGAATGATTTTTGTGGTTTCTCATCCCAAGGAAAATTCTCCCCCTGTGCCCAAACCCAAAATGTCTATTCTAGGGACCTGCATGTAGCAAATGAGGCTGTCAAAACAAGAGAAACAATCAAATGCTCTTCTAGGCTTGTTTGTTTATTAGAGGGTTGAAGTGATATTTAATGGTATTTTAATTAATGATACCAGACATTTAAGAAAAGTCCTAATAGCAAATTTTCTGTAGCTCTTCTTAACTGAAAGCTACTTTCAAATTTAGGGAGGGATTTAAAAAAGCCCCTGGCAGAAGCCTGAGTCAAAGTAGCACTAGGAAATCTGGGACATCATTTGAACTGTAAAGTGATGTTTGCCTTGCAGAACATTCTACTTGCTTATTTAGCAAATACTGAGTTTTGTCTTCCATTTGCATGTGTCTCCTTTAAACTTGTTCCTGATTTCCTTCTTTTTTAGCAATGACTTTTCTTTTTAACTTGATGCAAGCTGATTCAACCTTTCTAATCTATCCTCTGCTTTTACACTTTCCAGACTAAAATACAAGGGAAATCTCTTTCCAAACCCGAGGAAGTTAAATACAAACAAAGGACAGTCGTTCACCATTGCGTACCTTGCAGCCTACCTTGGAATGACTTTATACCTTCTATTGTAAAACTCCACACTTGTGAGACTTTAAAAGAACTACCTATGTTTGCAAGGCCAAACCATATTGAGCTTATTACTGAATCTTGCTTTGTAGAGGGAGTTCTGAGATTGAGAAGCTGGCTGTTCTGAATGAATGCACTCTATATTTGACTGTCCAATAAAGTGTACTGAATGTTGAGCTTGGCTGTTAGTCTGTTCTTTGTGTAATCAATTTAGGTTTTTTTTGAAATACACCATTCTCTTAAAGGGACATGATCAGGTTGCACAATATGAAGCTTTGATTTTTACTGAGCAATGAATAGACTTGTGTTTAAACCTGAACACAGAAAGATAGGCTTGCACTAGCATAAGAAAACCAAGAATTAAAATTGATCTGATTTAGTTTTTAAAAAGATATAAAAGAATAAAATAAATTCTGACTATGTCTCTTTAAGTTCTGTCCTTTCCTTTCTATTCTCACTTAGTTTACACTGTATTACAAACTTTATTTCCAGTTCTGTTTCTTCACATGGCAAGTTGGTTCTAGCGGTAAACTTGCAATGAACACTTGGTATATAACTTTCTTTTGTTAATGGGATCTTAGTGCATGTTTGCATGGTGAGTGTGCATCTTTGTTGCTTTGTGCTGTTAGTTTTTAATTACTTGTCTTAGCTGAGTTTGAAGTAATGCATGATTGGGAAACACTGGGTTTTTCAGATTCTAAAGAGTCTGACCCACAGCAGCGTAGACAAGTCTTTTTTAAAGACAGCTGGGGCTTGTAAAAAGAAAACGGTCAGTCATAACTGGTCATATCTCCAGTAAAGTGAATGCTGACTGCTTAAAATTAGCCAGTTATTTTCTCACTTGCATACACCTAGTTTCAGTAAGGGTCCCCTGTTTTATTCTGCCCCGCAGACCTTACCTTTCTTACTTGAGTGCTATGGCTCTTGCAGGGGTCACAGTGCATTCAATACAGCTTTAAAGAAAGCAGGGTGAGCAGGCATAGCAGAGTACCTGTGGCAGCACAGAGCTAAGAGATGGAACAAAACCCATCTGAAAACTTGTTGGGCTCGGCATTATTGTAGCTATTGCCAGCCAAGTTAGCCACCTTGAAAATAGGCCTGTGCAAACTGAAGGCACGTCTTGGCTTGCAGTGCTTCTAAGCTGTGAGCCTGATGCATAATACACTCCATAAGAGCTTCTAAGCATGGTAGCAAATGTCTTATTCCCAGTGTGGTAATTCCACTGCTGGCTACGAACAGGGTAAGAATCCTGCTCCCTCTGACACCCGTGAGTGCATTATCACTGGCCATTTCAGCAGAGTGGGTTTGGAGCAACACTTGGTGGGGTCCTTTTTTATCCTTCTCTGCACTCACACCTCTTGCAGTCACTTGCTTTAAGCCACAGTTTCTTTTCTTACTACACTGAAGCAGTTATCAAACTCGGTAATTAAGAATATGGTTTCCTCATCTTGTAAACGTCCTTTTTTGGTGCCACATTAGACAATATGGGGGGATTAATTGTTGATTTCTTGACTTTGTTTGTAAATTCTGATCCCAAAGCTTAGCTTCCCATTTTAAATTTAAATGAGGAGAATGGTAAAAAGTAGTTCGCAAATTTGTGTTGCATGCATGTGCTTTACTGTCTTTATTGTATTAAATAAATCCTTAAAAGGTGATGAAGAAGAGACGGCTGAAGTCACTGAAGCAGAGACAGTCACGGAAGAGGCTGATGCAGTAGCTGCTGCTGGACCTGCAGCACAGGATGAGAATGCTGGGCTATCCCCAGAAACTGGAGGGGAGAATGACTTACCAGCTCCAGATGCATCCCCTGCTGTCGAGGAAGCACAGCAGGAAGCTGCTGCTAATTTGGAAGTTGCTGCTAATTCAGAAGCTGCTGCAGTGCAAGGTTAACTTATGAATGCAGTTTTTGCGTGTGTGTGTGTATTGTGGATTCTAAAACTCTGCCTCTTACTACAGAACATTAAGAACAAATGTCAGTATTCCTAATGGAGTTTGTCCCACAGTGAAAACTAATTCAGCTGTTACCTTGACCTATCATGAACGTAAGGTAATTAAGTTCATTAAATCAGTGTCTCTAAAAGTATGCTGCCTGGGGCACCAGAGTTACTGTCTAAAACTAGTAGAATGAAAAGTTTATTTACTACCCCATTCCATTTCTCTTCTTTAAGATCTTATATTAAGGTGGCCATGTAATATGGTCGGTTAAACAGTTGTTTCAGTGACCTGGTTCTTAAGAGCATGTTAAGGAATCTGAACACTTTTATTTCACTGGCCACTCCTAAGATATTCACACTAAATAATTATAGCTGTTCTTTCAATGTAATGTCAACAAAATCTTGCGTAGCAACCAAAATGTTGTCATGATCTCAGTTTTAAGGATATAATAGGCTAAAAATTTCAAAATTCAATAAAACATCAAATTGGTATTGAACACTTAAATCGATTAGTAGCTACATATTCAGTATTTTGAACTGTCAGGGCGTTTAAGATGTTTTACTGTGCTTTTAAAAAAATCACAATAATGCAAATGCAAACCTATCCGTAAATTGCACAAAGTACAGGACTATAATTTAACTTGATTTTTTTAGAACTTTTTTTTTTTTCTACTAACCTGTGAGGATAGAGCAATGGCTTATCCTCTTACCTCTTGATTTCTTCAGCTAAAGTTGGAAGGGACACACATAAAGCAATGGCAATTTCTCAGTCAATAGGTAGGCAGCAAACATTTGCATCTGGTATCTTTAGTTAAAAACCAAACACACCACCACCAACAACAAAACTTGCCAGCCTGTCATGAAAGAGAAACTTAATTCTAATTCCTGCTTTGGAAGGGAAGACTTCAGTGTGGGTGTAGTAAGCATGAAAACCACTGAAGCAGTTTTCAGCTTGACTTAAACATGACTTACTGCACACCTATGTTTGAGTTACTTGGAGAATACAAACATCCGCTTGAGAGGATATATCTGAAACACAGGTCAAACTGAGATTAACAGCATTTTGACTGCTAGTCCGTGGGAGGTTACCACAGTACCTTGAAAGGTATTAGCAGATTCCAGAATTGTTTTCGCCTTTTTCCTTGGTGACTGCAGTGAGGAACGGATGTCATTTTAATTGCCTTTTTAACAAATGAACTTGAGAAATGGTGCGGCACTTCAAGTGGCTGACTTTTGTGAAAGGGCTAGGTATGAATGGGGTTTTAATTCACGTGTGAACAGCTCCTGTGCTTGTCTGCAAAACAATCCATTACAAATAACATTTTAAACCAATACTTGATTCAATCTGCTAAAAGTAATATAACTAATAAAAAGTACAGGTATATTTGTAGTGACTATATTTATAAGGTAGAAGTTAAAATACCTGGAGCCTTAAAAATTTCCATTCCTATGGAATATTTAGACCATTTCATTTAGAAAAGTAGTCTGGTATATGTTAAAGTTAGTGAATTAGAGCTGTTAAGAGATATAAGATGTTTTAAAATGTCTTGCAGTGTTTACCTCTGTTAGTCTACCAAGCACTTGCAACATACCACTTTAAGGAGTGGGCACTTGCTTGTGTCCAGAAGTGGTTGAATTTTCCTTTCATAATGCTGGTCTAGGAATATTTGATAGTTGTTGGATAAGGTGGGGTCTTTCGTATGATAAATATTCCTGCTGCTCTATTGAAGAGGAAGCAGCTAGGATCTTCCCTGAGAAATGTTGTGCATAAGTGGATTAAGTCTGAGGATCTAATTCTAGACATGGTGACTTCATGTAGTTAGTGGTCACTATTTTATAAGAGGAAATATGTCTTTTAACTGTTAGTTACTGCTGGTGTTGACTGGAAGTGGATGTGCTATTTAGAAATCATCAATTTCTTAGATCTGTTTTTTCTGGCCACTTACTGAAGAAAACAGCACTAGAACAACACTTTTGTTACCTTGAAATTTATAAGGGATTCTGAGGGTCATTTCAGGTGTCCTCTGTCAAATCTTGCTGCAGTGGTTATTCTTTGCTGTGTGGTAAAGCAGGCGGAAACGAACCTGTGGGGTATAAAATTGTTGAGAGCTTCTGCATGTTGTATCAGCCATCTTCCTTCCAACCCCTAATTGGGATATTACATATTAGCTAAAGCATTTCATATAAAGCAGCAGAAGTTGTACTTCCCTGCAGTCAGTACTAGTTTCTAAAGCAAGGGAGTATTCTCCCCGGTGTAGTGTTGCCTGATCTCTTGGACATTTCTGGGGTGTTAAAACTTGCTTCTGAGAACAGTTGTCTCATGCCACTGGTCACCAGTGAAGACTGTTGTAAATCACTGTTCGTAATGGGTGTGCCTGAGTCAAGGGTGAACCCTGTGGATCTCATAAGCAGTTCACGTGAGGTTCCCCCACGGGGGCTAAGTTGCTGTGACCGCTGTGTAACCCGGGTCCTGCCCTGGGAGGCTGCAGAGGCTCCTGCCGCAGGTCACCTTAGCGTTCGGCTGCTCCTCTCCTCCCGGCCCCATCTGCAGGAGAAGAGCAGGACCCCTTAATGAAGCGGTTCTTCCCTCGGGTCTCCGAGGAATTGATGGGGAGCCTCTGGCCCTTGACTGCTTGAGGGGTTTAGCAAGCAGCATGTGGTCTTACACGCACAGGCTTAAACCAGTATCCCTTTCCTTTAAGCTATGTAAAAGCTGGTTTCCGTCAGCATAATATTTAAAATATAAGAAGATGGTACTTTGAGTCAAAAGTTCTCTGCTCTCTATGTACCCCTTTGTTCAGTGTTTACCTGCAGTCAAAAGCTATTTGTGTTTTAAAAAAAAAATTGTATGATTAAAATCCATCTGGAAATATCTTACAGTTTTGTATTTAACCATTTTTATCATTTGTGTTCTCTCCATTTAGAGAGAAAAAAAGCATATCTCCATTTTTACTGAGATAGGGAAGAATTTTTCTTTCAGAACTGCCCAGGGAAATGCAGGCTTACCTTGAAAAAAGAACACTTATTTAAATGACTTTTATTATTTTTGTTGATAGCTTGATGTTACTTCTGCAGATGAAGGTGCAAGTATTTTTATGGTTACCAGTAAACCTCTGCTTTTTCAAATGCAGTTGTTTCTTTTAACGTGTAAGGCTTTTTGTAATGTCCTTGGAAGTGCAAGGTGCCAGTGGATGTTTGTCTCCAGCTCCAGTATACATAAATATGTATGTATACAGATAACAAGAATGTGTGTTTATACACAGATGTGCAAAAAAACCCAACCCAAACCAAACCAAAAAATCCCCCAACTTTGGAGGTAGGTACTTAATCAGGGTAATTTCAATTTTAGAAAGTTAATTACAATTGTACCTGGCTGGAAGTTTTTCCTTGCCTCAATTTAAGCAATTTACAACCCACTATTGGTATCTGGAATTCAGTGAAATACTGTTGCCAAAAAAAGTACTGTGCCGTGTTACTCTGTTCCCAAGGTTTTAGCTTCCTCTAAATTCTAGTTTTCTGTACCTTTTTATTGCTTGATCTGTTGCGCTGTCACTCTTGGTTACTGCCAGATGCTGGTAAGTTTCCTGCTGTTCTCCTTCTAGCGTACTCTGTGTCTGGGGACCATAAATTTAGATCAATTTTTCTTCAGATAGAGCACATGCTATAAAATGTACAGATTGGCAAGCTGCTGTTTGGATTAGGCAGCATTGTTACATCTGTGACTTTTAGTTTTTTGGATTGCCACTGTAAACTTTTCTCCAACTCTAGGACTGAGGCTTGAGATTTTGGCATTAGCAACTGGAATAGCAAAAGCAATTAGGCCAAAACCATGCTTTCTTGGACTCCTGACTTCTGTAGCATAGGTTCTTTCCTAATTTTTTAAGTATTGAAGGACATGGTCTCTTCTCTGTTATTTCAAACGCCATTTGAGTGAGTAACTAGGTTTGGGGAGGATTAGTGTGTGAATGTGCCAGTGTTTTCCATGTCAAGCTTCAAATGGCATTACAGTGCCAGTTGTCTGCAGCCTAGAGAAACAAATACAGGCTGCACTGGACAGGAGTTACTGCTTTCTGGACAGGACTTTTGCTGACCTGATCACACAATGATGCCAAGCAGACAAAAACACCCGACAGGATCAGTGTACATTGTTTTTGCTTGGTAAGTTACCAAAGTCTGGGTGTGTATTCAAATGCTCTGACACTGGGAGTATTTTGAAGATTGCTGAAAAGTCCTCACGGTAATTTGTAATTGTGCATTCTTATTCAGAGGCTTTCAGAATGACGTTGCTCAGCAGAACAAACACATCCTTCTAGGCATTTTTTTTGTGTGAGATGGAGGAAGGAACAAAAGCTGTGCAGCCTGCAGCTCTTTACAACCTTAGGTGCTGGGGTAAGATGCAGTGTGTGTAAGGCTGGACAGACCTTATCCCTTATGATTATACCACTTGTTTACAGTTGGACCTTGTGAAAATAACTACCTTTTTTTTTTTCCTCTCTCTTCTCAACCTCACTGGTATAGATCAGAAGCATCTCATAACAGGCCTATTATCTACCATTTTCATATGTATAATGTCATGGCATGAAATGGATCTCTAGGTGTAAATTGGTGTAACAGAAGACAGGTGGAATCAGGGAGAGTATTCACATCATCTGACGAAACCTGTGCTTAATTACCAACTGTAATAAAGGTTTTCTGTTCTGAACCTCCTTTTAGAGGATTTTTTTTCTCTTCAATTATTGTGGTAGACTAAGCTAGCTAAATTAGGCTCTAGAAAGTTGAATTATGTGAATGTTATCCTACTGGGGAAGTATCCATATCTGTGGACCTTCTGTTGGGTATTTCTGCTTCACATTTATCACTTTCTTTATCTGGCCCTTGGGCTGCTGCATTTCTCTTGCATCTCTGATTGCCATACACTGGCCACTAGTCTCTTCTCTCTTCCTTCTGTTTTTTCTT